AATCAGAGCAGGAGAGGGCACAGACTGTGGAAGAGGAATGAAGAGATGGACGTCAGGGACCTAAAGTCACAGGACCCAAGGACAGCGCTGCCAGGATCGGGCAAAGAGCGACAAAGCTGCTATTGTTGCTGGAAGAGGAACCTCGAGCGGACAAATGACAAAGAATTTAAACCACCCCTCCTGATATGTACAAATGCAGTGACTGTGTCAAAAGGATGAGGATGGGCAACTGCGACGCTAATCATTTAAACCAAAACGTTTCCACATGAGATTTAATCATTTCACACATTCATTTCCATGTTTTCACATGCACCCAGCATATTGACATCCTGGGGATTGCCATGTTATTAAGGTTTATTTAATTGAATTGGAGCTTTAGTGCGTTGCTACTTTCCCACTTTTTGGTTGTTGTTTTCAGTCAGAATGCCTCAAGTGATAATGTAAACCACCTGCCAACCAACTTTGTCCGTTAAGACAAGAAGGAAGAGTCACTTCTACCTGAATTCACCTCATCAGTGCAATAAAATTAAAAAACGAATACCCCCAGGTTTTTTTTATTAGCTGCAATAAATTCAGAGTACAGCATGAGAAGGCATTCACAGCTGTAGGTCAAAATATGTCTCAGGGTATAGGTTTAAAAACTGGTTTGTACAGTAACATTGTGTGATCATGACTCACACGCTGGAGTTTCCAACTTTCCACCACCACCCAAGATGATTCCAAACAAGATCCCAAAAATAGTTTGCAAACGTCACGAGGCATTTAAATATTAATCATATAATATTTAATCAATTGAATGTCCACTTATATTGTCTGCGGCATTTAATTTTGCCAGAAAAACATGTTGTTTCAGAACACATTTTGATATATTGAGTTTAAAATAGATGTTGTTTTATAAATGGAAGGTTAACCCCAAATTTAAAACATACCCAGAGAAGACGACCTTTGTCCTCAGTGACGTCCACAGGCCTGTAAATCATTACAGTGGCTTCAAATGTTTGACTGTCTGTCAAACATTTGTTTGGGTTTGACGCCTCATCACCTTCACTCTTGTGCTTTAACCTCAAACACTTTGATAAATAGATTATGTGCTTGTGGCCTTGACATGTTAGCACAATCACGGCTGAGACGACACGCCTGCTGGTCTGATCCAATTAGTGTGAAGCTTTATTTGTGCTATTTGTCGTGCAATGTTTTCCAAAGAATTTTCCCGTGACTGTGGCCTCATGTGGCAGATCTTTTTCCCCTGTTTCTCCAGTGCCTTTCTGTGGGAAAATGAGTGTGTGTGTGTGTGTGCGTGTGTGTGTGTGTATAGTTGATTCAAAGATCTCCTCCCTGCCTGACTCAGAAAGATATTGTTTCCCATCAGAAATCTGAAGCCTCCAATCATCATTATACAGCAGTTATTTAATTGATCTTAGTTATGTTGTTGGATGCATTGACATCCTTTTAAAAAATGGAAAAAGATTCCACGTACATTTTTATTTAATAATATGATATAATAATCAATAATCACTTGTTTTAATCTTCATTTCATTGAACTTTTCTTCAGCGAACTCATTAATCCGAAACCCGAATCCAAAAGTTTGTGAGAGTGTTGAGAATGTCTTGCCTGTTGTTTTTCTTCCTCAGGAAGTGAGTGTACTCCCTCATGATGCCAGGTTATCACGTTATCCACATGTGGTGCCACAAACATTCAGGAAGTGACTACATCTCTCATTCCTCCTGCGTCTTCACTGTTGTACTATGAAACTCCAGCGCACCGAGGTTGAACATTTTACATTGTTATCGCTTGTTGTCACAATAAGCATTTTATTTTGTAAACAAAGGGTTTCTGTGGTGGTGCATGTACACACACACACACACACACACACACAGACACACACACACACAGACACACACGCACACATACATATATACAAACACAGAAGGGAGCAGTCAAACACATGTTGCTGTATATTAGCTCTGTTTGATATCATAACTTCTGCATCAGTAATCAGTAATTTACCAGGAATGTCACTTACAGTAAAACATTGATCGATAAGTGTTCGTGTGTGTCTGTGTGTGTGTCTTGTGTTTGGTTTTGGCTCAGTTACCCTGGAGGCTGATCGCCCACATTGTCTTGGACCAAGTAGCATCACAGACTGAGCTGTGTAAGCCTCGTACAAATGTTCATTCACACAAAACAAAAAGTGAGTGAAATGTGCAGTGAAGTGTGTCATGTGCAGGAAAATGACAGTTTGACACTTTCATTTGGGGTTTTAGCACGTGTCACAAATTTCAGTTTACACTGTCTGTGATTTTAAGTGGTTTGATCAGAGCTTCTCGTTTGTAGCTGCTGCTCTATTCTTTTTCTTCATCACATTAGCAGCAGTGTGTTCCTCTCAGTTTGATAAACCTGATACACAAGCAGTTGGGTGGCAACGGCGGCTACAAGTGCCACCACGTGATCGTCAGACACCCTTGGGTGAGCACATACACGGCCAACAATGCCCCAGTGACCACCTGAGACTCTGGGAGGTGGGCCGGACAGACACCTGAGTCCTGGCTCTGCGAGGGCCTCTTCACAGCCGCTGCTCCGCAGTCATCCTATCCTGCTTCCTGCTAACGTCATGAGCCGGGAAAGGCACCGGGCCCTTTACTCTGATGGCACAGTGATTTGTGGATGGCTGTGAAGTACATGAAGCAATTAACCCTAGAACCCACAGCAGGGTGTGGGCCATATGCATGCATTAATTCATGTGTGTGACAGGAACATGTGACATTTTTACATTCAGGGGCTGATGCCACCAAATGGAATAATTTTCAATTGACGACACTGGCATTTGTTACCATGGTAACACATCATTGCTCCTTAAAATATTCATATAGTGTAGATTGATTCAGTCCACCAGCAGATAAAGATACAGTGGACCGAGGGAAACAAATACATGAGTGTGCATCTGAAGATAATGTGATTTTCTTAAAGGGCAGAGTCTGTCCACCTCCTCCTGATGACTGCAGTTCACCTAGAGAGCAGTCATGAGGGAGTCCACGATCAATTGGAGTTGTTACCCCTCCAGCTTCGTGGCTCCGAATCCTAGTGAGGAGGCCTCTAGATTTCTTTATGCCAAGTTCAGAATACTATCAGGGCGGGGAAATATAATAGAAGCAGGCACTTAAAATTAAACCACCTCATATGCTGCACCCTGAGCTAAGAGATACTGAATGGCTGCACACACAAAAACCATTATCCCAAACGTTGAGTCATACAGAGTGTGTACATAAACGGCATTATTATATGAGAGCACGGGGCAGGACGTCCATTGTCTCCATGCGGTGACCAGCTGTGGATCTGTGACACAGAAGGATGAGGAGTCTCCGGTCCTCCACACGGCAGACGTCCTTTGTCCTGGTCCCGCTCATTAGGAGTGGGGAGTGGCCCCCTGCTGTTTTGAAGCCCCCCACACCCAACACACATGCACATACAAACACACACATGCACATATAACTCCCACATCCTGCACCTCCTGAACAAAATCTGTGCAAATTGAACTGCCTTGTTGATTAATGTTGTGGGAAAGAGGTGCAGATTATATACGATTATTCTTCTTTCTGCTCCTTTGCTTTCAAGATTTGAGATTTTGCGTTTGCATTTCATTTGTTTTAGTTTGGTGGATGAATGAAATAAACTTATGAATGAAAACTACTCACAGCAGATGGTTGTCACCAGCAGTCTCCTCAGAATGAGAAACCCCCTCAGGTACGTACACACAGTTTACAGGAGTAAAGCGGATGGAGGTTGTTGTAGCTTAGAGCTCGTTGCTCAGTCATTCTTAATTGCAGGTTTACAGACGTGTCAGCTTGTTCCTCATCAAACAGCATTTTCAAGTTCTTTTGTTTGCTTTTCATGTCCTGAATCCTCTCACGAAATGCCCAAAGGAGTTTTTCAAACTCCCCATCATCTTCTAATGTTATCGCAGGCTTCTGTTCTTACTTTTTCTTTTGAGTGTTAAAATACAGTTTTTACAGTTTCATGAGGAAAGGTAACCGTTCCTCGGCTTTTTTGTTTTTCTGAATTGCCAAAGGAATGATTCATGAGTCTTAAAGGTTTGGAACTGTAATGTCAAATAGAGCCTCACCTTTGGGAAGTGAATCCACCTTAACTGGTTTGTGCTGTGACACGTGGCCGAGGGTTCATCTTCCTGTTCACAAACGAACACACCTTTATAAAATAAACAACCTAGATGTGTGCGTGTTCTTGTTCTTATATCTTTGTGAGAACCATTTTGAGCATAGACCCTACAAAGTGAGGACATTTCAGGAGAGTGAAGATATTGTGGCTGGTCCTCACTTTTTCAATGGACTGTTTGAGGGTTAACACTTGGTTTTAGAGTTAGAGTTAGAATTAGGTTTATGTTAGGATTAGGTTAAGTAAAAAACTCAGGGTCAGGCCCTCGGAGATTGTGGTTGTTTAAAAAACATTTGTGGAGTCCCTTATCAATCCATATTTATATGGGTAGAGTTCCCCTTGGATGAGGTGAAAATTAAAAATGAAAAGATCACCAGGTCAACGAGGCGACAGGAGTTTCTTCTCCTGGCGCCTTGGTTATTATATCAAAAAGACTAAGCTATGCTGCAGCCGATCACTGAGATAAGATAAGATAATCCTGTATCAGTCTCTCAGTGGGGAAATTAGCAAGAATCAAAAATAGGCATCATTAAGTATTAAGTAAGATAGAATACTTAAGTGTAAGGAATATAAAACATATAGAAACATATGAATGGACTTAAACTAATATTTACATTGTGAGAATACAAATATTACATTTGCATTCGTACGTGAAACTTAGGAATGTTATTTGAAAACACAAACTTTAAATATAAAACATTCCTCCTGAGTAATGAAGTGCTCATTAAATCCACAAACACTAATAAAGTTAGGAGGGTGCGTGTGTGCGCGTGCTCCGCCCACAACAACCGCTGAAAGGCGTAGTCCACCTCCTCCTCCTCCTCCCGCTCCTCCTCCCGCTCTCCGGCTCCTCCTCCTCGGTGTGCTTCAGAGTCAGTCTTCGGCGCAGCGTCAACCAGGAGCCGCGTGAGAGCCGACGTCTCCCCGCCGGAGAAACCGAGTCGCGTGGATGTACCGAGAGTTTTCCCGGTGACGTCGCGTGGACGGAGGGAAGCCGGGGCTCCTCGGAGGAGCTGAGTCCTCAAGCACATGAGGAGAACCGACCGGTGAACTGTGAGTATCCACCATTACTCCTGCGAGTCTTCACCTCCTCACACACACACGCACGCACATACGACTGTAAACTGAGCCTTTACGTACGTCTCTTCAAGAATAGCGAGACTGTGCGAGGGAGCCAGGCGCGTGAAGGTGAAGAGTTGGAAACAACAGGAAACAAGTTGCGGGAAAGATCCTGAGCAGAAATAAGTTCAACAGTTCAGAGCAAACATCCAGTGTGAACTGTGGAGGAGCTGCTGCTCTGTGTGTGGGACATCAGTCAGTCTGGGACAGTTCAGAGTCTGTCACTGACATGTTCTACTTTTATGTTTTATCCATGTGTTCCTGTTTATTTTGGATGGAGGACTCATACCTGAGAATACTAGTCGTTGCCCGGAGCTGTGTAAATACGTTTTTATCAAACTTGGAGCTGACGGTGTCCCTGAGGCCTTAGCAAAAACAAACAAACCAAGCACTTAATGCTAATGTTAGATTTGAAGCAGGCACCTGAGGGAACCATTTCTGACATGTGGATGTTGACGGTCTTCTTCTCTCTGCGGTCGACGATGCAGCTCCACTTTCTCCCACGATCCAGAAGTGAAGCCAAAATATCCCCAACGCCGCCATCTTGCAAGTTCGTAACCAGAGTCTGTGCGGTAGCTATGGAGCCGCAGTAGTTGCGAGTCAGTCTCAGCTCCAGATAATGATGTTTCACCGCCTTTATATCACTTGATTTAAATCAAACTTAACAGAAACATTGAGCCGTGTCTCCACTACCATCCTGAGAAGAACACAAAACTCAAATAATGATGCTGGGTCAGTAGGTGGCGATAAAGCCAACGTTAGCGTCCGAGCAGACACCTTTGAATCCAGGTCAGTGATGCTGCTTTGGTAAAAACCTCAATTTTCGTGACACCAGAAAAATGAGTGATCTCAAGAGGCTTTGTCAGAGACTGACCTGAAAACCACCTGCACATGGCTTGAATGACTCACTTGACCGCAGTACATTTTCAACTGGAACAAATGTGAAGAATACACCAGAATTCTACTCTTCCTCGAGACTGTGCTCTTCCTCTCTGACGCCACATGTGCTCTGCATCAATATGATAAAAGGTTTTAATCGCATGAGCAACATTTTCCAGAGTTCTCTGGGCAGATGCGTGTGTCAGCTCCTCAGCTCTGCTATGTTTAGACATTAAAGTCTAAACCACAATGTGAATCAGTCGCCTTCATTCCGCTTGCAGGCGAATGAAAACGGGGCTAAATTATGACCACACACAGTGAAAACTATGAAAAAAATGTATGATAAAATTATATTTGTTTCCCAGAAAACTTGATTTAAGGTTTAAATGCAGATTTTATAAAGAAAAGATCCGACTTTTGAGTAAAAAGATTCCCTCGTGTTTTGACCCTGTTCTCACACAAATACCAAACCCTGGATATCTTATCTTATTTTACAGTTAACTGTTTTGTTTGTCAGATTGTTTTCCATGACAACAGCTCTTATTATCTTCCCATGACTCTTCAGATGTGGCTCATCTCAGTGTTTAGTACACATCTGCATCTGCATGGTCAGTAGCTTGTGATACGACTTGCTCAACGTAGAGCATTACGCATGTCTTGTGACGAGTAGCCTTGGATAAAGCAAGTTAAAATGTTTGTTGTGTGTTCATGTCTGTAGGGATGAGCTGTATTTTTTATATTGATAAAGAGATTAAGGTAGTTTGTCATTAAAGTGTCGAGTTGCTGTGGTCGAGATTGAGATGTTGGGTCTCGGCCAAATGGACGAGCAAAGAGTCTTCGGTCTCAAATTCACTTTAGCCATTCAGACGAACCCTCCGCATAATAAGTCAGTAATTTCTTCTCATAATGAGTCACGTGCATTTTCCTTCAGATGGAGAACAGTCGGTGAGCAACAACAACCTCCACTTTACTGTCAAGGACACTGTGTCCGTCAAAGGGTGTGTGTGATTCACCTGATGATTAAATCAAACCTGTGACCTTTTTAGAGTCAGGACATTTCCTCTGCCTCCTCTGGGAGATGTGAAGATGAGACATTGCTAATAACAGCCATCTACACGGGCGATGTCATGTTTCTCCAAGAACAATTTAAGAGGCAGGTTGTCTATTCATCAACTAGTGAGTGTGCCTGACTTAGATGTACAGCAGAATACTGACAGCTTCTGTTTCGGCTGAGATGCTCTAATCGGGTTTATAACTCTTAACAAACGTTCAGGGTATTACTTGGAAAATATTAATATTATTTTTCCAAGGCTCCTCACGAGTCTTTGTTTTATGTCAAGGATTTCAAGGTCACTAATTTCAGCACATCCCAAATGGGAGACCTGAAGATTCCCACGGGTGCTTCTAATTATGGGGACATGCCATCAGCTCTGTACTGTATCCACGTTCTCATTGTTCATGGTGACACAGAAACGTGCACTTTCATGTGAAGGGAGACTGTCACACAGTTTGAAATGACATCTCACAGCAGAACTGTTTTACTGAAAGATGGTCTGATACTGAGACCAGCCTCTCATACTGCACAAAAGACAGTGGTGAGTAGTCCAAGCACCAATCCAGTATATTGCTTTCATCCAGATAAAACTGCAATTTCCTCTTTCCCAAAAATATCTTTTTCTTAGCTGACCCAAAACAGCAGTAGCACTGTACTGTGACTAATATTCTAATATTAATCATCTGTGTTTGTTTTCAACACTGATGGTCACACTAGATGACAAGAGAGATCTGTAGTTTCATTCTCTGTATGTATTTGTTTTTCAACCTGAGGGCTCACGGTTATAGCAATTCATACTTCCACAGGCTGGTATGTATGTTTTTATTATTGTAATAGCAGTAGTATCAGTTTTGGATAAGTTTCACCTCTCATCCAAGAGGCTTCTTTAGTAAAGTGGCTGAGTCCCAGGTTTTTAACTTGTAGGGTCGTTAGGAGTCGTTGAGGTAACCTGAGAAGCTGGACCCTCCGTGCTGTTGGTTTCGTTGGGAGTCGCTTGCGGGTCGTTGACTCAGAGTGCCCCCTGTGAGTCATGTGTCCTAAGGTGTGAATTGTAGTGAAACTTCCCGGGAGACAGAAGTCAACACTGTATTGTATGTGTCTTAAACATCCTCCTCTGTTTTCTCAGGAAAATTTGTTTATTGAATTCCAGTCAAACAGAGATATTCGAGTGGGTTCTACTGTTCCCAAACTCGCTGGTTGTTTCTTTCTGTTTTGGTTGAATGGAAGTCTGACGTTATCCACCTGCAGTGTCCCTGTCTTTCCTCTGGTGTCAGCAATAATTATAAGTATAATTGAGTCCGGTTTCACCGGACATTAGTGGGAAACCAGACATGGCTCCACGACAGCTGACAGCAGCTTCGCTCAGCTGGTGTTAATGCCGCTGCTCGGGCAGAACCCTATATTTCTTTGTTTGTAGCTGCTGTTTTAGGCCTGAGCAAGCTTCTCTTGAGAAGATTGATACCAGTTTAATCTCTGTCATCTGAGTAAAGTGAATCTTATAGCACCAACTGGAATCAGAGAAATCAACTGATCTGTAGTAACTCTAAAACTGAACAGCACCACTGAGGTGTTGCCACCAAGCACAGCGGTTGTCTGTCAAGAATTTGTTCCACTGCATGTGCTAACCGCTGCATGTGCTAACCGCTGCATGTGCTAACCGCTGCATGTGCTAACCGCTGCATGTGCTAACTGCTGCATGTGCTAACCGTTGTGTAACCCACGATGGTGCAGTTGCAGTTTCCCCACATCTGACAAAGGTTTAGCCGACAGTTTCCCACTTGCTTCAAGCATTGATGCAGAACCATGCTAAACACGTCCTGGATCAGTTAAGCCCAAGACGCACAAGTATGAAACTGGTGTTGTTATCATCTTCTGGACAATTTTTTAAATTTATTTTTCATTATTGATCCCTCAAGGGGAAATCCTTTTTACACTCATTTTTTACATGCAGTTCACGGCAGTGCCCAGGAGGTGAACTGGCACCTCTTTAGCTACCAGTCCACCTTAATGTGTATGGTGATAATCAACCATACAGTATTTTGGCTCTAATTATCACTTTCCAGGCATCAGTGTTTGAGGCAACACGTACAGTTTATGTGTTAGCTTGACTGAACGTACCTTGATAATTATGAGATAGATATTAGAGCCAGTAATATATCAACTTATCAAATAAACTATGCAGAAAATATTGCATGTATGATTAGATTTTAAATCAGAAAATTGTTTATTTTCTTAATTTCAAGATCTATATATTTGGTTGTATTTGTTTTTTTATATATATCAACCAATATTTCTGTATCAGAATGTTTTTACTCCCTAATAGAAGCATCAGCACCCAAACTTTAAATTGATCTGACTGACTCTGAGTAAACTCTTAAATCTGTTTCGCATTGAGTAAAGTGCATTGCTTCATGTCTGCAGCAGAAGTTGTGCCTGAGAGTTTTCTGCTTCCTGTGTTTGTCGTTAACTTCTGAAAGAGAAGATACATCAGAAGTCAGGACTCACTACAGCACCTACAGCGTCTGTTGTATGATGAGATACTTAAGTAATCAGATTACACAAAACAAAATACTTAATGATCATGTTTGGAATGACCGTTTGAAAATCACAAACAATGGCTGAGTGAGAATCTTAATCCAACGTGTGTTTGCCAGTGTCTAAAGTAACTGCTGTTATTTATGTTTGGCTGCCACTGATTTCCAAGATCCATTAAAAACGGCTTACAGGGATATAGTGCAGCATGTACACAACTAATCCATAATATTACAGCCACTTTACCGACATCAGCATTTCCTGATTGTGGTAAATACATGAGTTTTAAAGAGTTTTAAAGGGGGGGGGGGGGGGGGATGATAAACTGACAAAGTATAGCCTATGATGACCAACAGCCTTTACTGTAAGTGATACCTTACATGTATTCAGCAGATTCATTTGTGAGTGAATTCAGAGAGGGCGTACTGGTTGTCTTTGTAACTCGATCATCGTATGAGAGATAAAAGTG